CTATTTGAAAGATCTGACACGTGCTTACCTTACTTTAACGAGTTCACTTAGAGGAATCTTTGAAAATGGACATCCAAGTTCTTCCGCTAGTTTAACTACCTCTCCTGCTTTGCCGTGGGCAGTTCGGAATGCCATCTGAAACAAAGAAATGAAATCATGTCCTCAAAAATTTGTTGCACAATTCTTTACAATAAATACTGATCAGCATTTATTGTAAAGGTTCAATGTTACATAGAAATTCAAATGCATGTACATTTTGTCTTATGTAACACATATAAAATGCTTTCTGGTACCTTTACTCATTGTCATTTATTGTACACCATGAGGACTTCGCATTGGCACAATTCCTGAGTATGGCTAATGAAAAAAGAACAAATAGTAACAAAAAAGAAAATTCCTCTAAAATGCTAACTAGGTCCACTGCATACCCTTACATGCCCAAAAAGTTTATCCATCCATAAAATATGTTAAGATGATTTTTTTTCCCTAAATGAAGACAAAGAATTGGTTACAGGGGAATAAAATATACAGATATCTTTTGTTTTTGATCTTCCTTGTTTTCTACGTCTTTTTTTAACAATTTTCAACTAAACCCTAACATGAACCTCTTAATTATAAGGATAAAGACTTTATAGATTAAGTAACAGTCAGACAGAAAGCTATTTTATTGACATGATTTCAAATTATATAAATTAGAACAAGAGAGAAATAATTTTCATTGGTGATTTTTAAACAAATACATAAAATATAAACCTCTAACATGTAACATTACATATATCACATTTTCATATGTCTGTGCATGTCAGGTTCTACTGCATAATAAAACACAATGTATATACAGCAAAATAAAAGTGAAGGGAATACAAGTATTACTGTTATAAGAGTTATGGTATCATTCCAGTCACTTAATATAAAAGATAGTTAATTTATGATCTTATTAAAGCCAGCGTATATTGATGCCTAGTGCCTTGAAGGAGCTTTATCAATGTACGGAGAGGAGCTGTGAGTTGCCAACTGGTACTTAATAATGCCATTTATTAAATGTTTCATTATAATCTTTGTGTTATGTTCTGTTACCTGTAAAGACTTATTTTGTATACACATGCCACAACAGTAACTGTATATATTACCTTAGCAATTATAACTATTTCACAGGATATTGTTCATAATGTTAAAATTATTGGGATCCAACAGACAAGTGTACAAAACTGTCCAAAATAAAAAACAAACAATGAAATATACTTACATGTTTTAAGATTTATTCTACCTCATCAGAGAAACTTTGAAGTTGACACCAGAGAAAAAAGTATTAGCATATTGCTTGACAAAAACATTCATATGGATTACATTCATTTGCAACAATACAAACTTCACACACTTACTCCTTTCTTGACTAAGTAGTAGGCTATGTCAGTAGCAAGCATCTCTTCCGTCAATCCCTTTTGACACGCTGCTGCATCAACCTGCAGAGAAATACCTTTGCTTAAGTTTGACCTAAATGTAATTGAAGACATTATGCTTACAAAATTGTTTTCATGATGTATATTTTTCTCATTATCTCTCTTTTTCTCTCTCGAACATCTAGGTATTCAATTGTTATATTACTATCAGTACTTGCTTAATACTCCCTTTGAACTTTACATGTAAAACAAAGATGTTTTCATGATTTCAGTACACACTACCATCCTCATTATTTTCATAACTGTTTATGGAAAACACGACGAGACTCCCTTAATTTCCTGAAGATTTGTGTTGCATTAACTTACTTCCATTGTCTCAACTGCACCAGCAGCTACTTGGAGAAGCCCCTTCATAATTGAGGCGGTTTCAAACATCTTCAACTTGTCCTCTTGTAGATCTTTGTTATACGTTGAAGGGAGACCTTTCAGCACCGCCAAGAAACCGCATAGCTGATGGATTGTCCAAATAAAAAAGTTGAGATGTTATATACTGGATAAAAGAGGTCAACTACAAAAAGATAACAAAAAAATTAAGAGATACATAACTGAAGTGATTCAAGGCATATAGGAACTGAAAAGCAAATGCCAGATTGAAAGCATTCATACACCTTGCAACCTTGCAAGGAAAGCCCAAAGCATTCCATAAAAAATCCAAAACAATGTTTAAAACTATGAAGAGGAGATTTAAAAGAAAGACAAAAACAAGACACCAATAAATAAAACAAACATTTCAATGAAAGTAAAAGCATAATACCCTAAAAACCATTGTAACCAGAAAACCTCACATTTCCTGCCAGGGTCCCTGCCTTCCCTCGGATGAGCTCCATGCTGTCAGGATTCTTCTTCTGTGGCATGAGGGAGCTCCCCGTGGCATAGGCATCTGACAGCTTAATGTAGCCAAATTCACGGGTAGAATACAGGATGACATCCTCTGCCAGGCGGCTCAGGTGTGAACCCACCAAGCTGGACCAGAACAAAAACTCCACTGGAAACAGACATGCACAACAGAACTACATGTGAGGATGCAGTGATATTGTGTA